CAGTTGATCCCTCCCTCCCTCTCCCTTCTCTCCCTGCCTTCTTTCCTTCTACAATTATTGAGCACCTCCTTTATACCAGGCACTGTGCTTGACTCTGGAGCTTAGTGGCCCCTTCTCTCATGAGATCTATCATCTAGTAGATGAGGTTGACAAGCAAATCAAAGGTAAAAGTCCTTGTGGTTAGGGTTATGTGGAGGGTTCCACGGATTCAGAGAGACTAGGGAAAACTTGGCTGGAGTTTCTGTCAACTGTCTTCGAAGGACAAGTAGGAGTTAGCTAAGGGAGGGAGGGGTGACCCAGACCCAGGAGCAATGCACAGGGCAGGTAACGAGACCGTCTTGTGGTTGGCCTGCGTGACTGGGATGAGCATAAAAGGGAGATTGCCAAGAACGTTCTATCCCTGGGCAATCACCATCGATGTTATATAAAATATTGTTACATAATGATCCCCAAATCTGCACATTATCTGACAAAGCTCGTACTACTCTCTCAGGTGACTGCTGCAAATGTCAGTGTCATAATAAAATAAAAGCCGATTTCATTTGTTTGATCTCCATTAAAGCCGGTAGAAATGATTTATTGATTTTTAAAGAAAAACATATTTTTAAATGCCACGTTTTTTGCAAGCTTCTTGTTAATAGATGTGGTATTCTCATATACCCCAACTCGCTTCTAGTTACAAAATGTTAACAGTTTTGAGGAAAATCAATAGAATAATCAGAAAACTCATGAAAAGATGAACAAAGAGCAAAATAATTCCATATCTTGGAGTCAGTGTTTTTTTTCTTAACGTTCAAAGTTTCCAACTTGTTCACTTGGATCCAGATGTTTCTTAATTTCTTTTTGTTTTGTCTTTAATGCCATAAAAACTGAAACTGAGACACATAAATGAAGGCTAGACTCCAAACACAGCTAAGGTAATGCAGAAACTCAAAGTCAGGAGCGCGTTTGTGAAGAACACTTGGACACTTTCTGCAAAGCCTGCGTGGTTACGTTGCCATTGTGCTCGTCAGCGTGCTCGCACACACGCTTCGGGTGGAAGTGTGTTTGGGGTTGCATGCGTGGAGCGAATTTGTTCCTCCCCACAGACTTTCTTTTGTCAGACAAGAAGAAATGTGTAGCTTGCCTTTCTCTTTTCAACTCGGTCATCAGGAAGCTCCTCGCTACAGCTCTTGGTCCAGGATTTCTCTCTATTCCATCTTTGTCTCATTAGATGATTTGAAAGACAACATTCAGGCACCTGTGTTTTTTTTTATTGAGACTGCTTCGAACCCTCTGTGGAAGTCGAGAGGAGAAAAATAATGATACTACTAAAGAACGATAGTTTATCACAGGACTGTAAAAGTAATTAAAGCGAACTCATTTCCAAGTTCCCACTATAGATGGAAAATTACCAAGGCCGCTGCACCCATGCCTGTTCCTAGTACTGTGGAGGCCTATGTGTATATATATATATCCTACCTATGACCTTCTTACCACCTAACTGGATAGGGCGGGGAAGCAGTTCAGACGAATTTGTGTGTAGTGATTTTACAAGTTATTACTATTATAAAATATTCTTATTACACTATATTATATAGTAATATCGTATAACATTATGAATATTATTATTTACATAATAATCTACAGTTGCTAAGTTGTCTCCCAGTGTTGTGACACCTGCGTACCTGAGAATCCGTTTTCATTTGCCTGGCTAAGTTTCACCTGATGTCTGGAAGTCATCACAGGTAACCGATGGTTAAATTATCTAGGTCGTCGGGAGTCACTGACTCTAAGCAGAGGAAATGTCTCGATGAGGCAGGATTGGAGATGCTGAAGACATGGGCTCAGCCAAGTGCAAACGTGCATTCTAGCTCCTGATAAGACGTTGATGTTTCTTAAAACTCAACGTAAAATACTAACTAAGCATCTAGTGCTAAAGGGAATTTTAGATTAATCCAGCAGAACGGTGCCATGAGAAGACCGGTGAGGGAGGGTCTGGGCCGAGGCCCAGTTCGGCACCGTCTAGTCTTGTAGTCTCTCAGGCCTCGTTTCTTCATCAGAAAAGATGAGGCTGGATCCAGAGATTTTCTATGAGTCTCGCAGTTGGAGGAGAACACAGATTTCTTTGTTGAAATTCCTACTAAATGGGCATTTTAGTTGACGACCTCCAGGCGTGTCGCAAAGCGTGGTACACGGTCTTACTTTAGCACAGAGACCTTGAAGTGCGAGTGTCACCCTTCCACTCCCGACTGACCTTGGGTTGGGACACTGAGCGGGCGCTTCATCACAGGTCCAAAAAACTCTTCCGACCCGCTGTCGGCTAGAATGCACTCTAAACAGTTCCTCCTTTTCCTGTGGAGGGTGGGCCTGGATCTAGGTGGAATCACACACACTGTCCTCTTAGGATTTGTAAGGTGGATGCCAGGGGGTATCTGTCCCCAGTGAGCAGAGCTCATTCGGGGTGACTTGTGCTTCAGAACATAGGCTCTGAAGTGAGAGTCATTTTGTTCCCATTTCAGTCCTATTCATGTGCTGTGTGACCTTGGACAAGTTTTTTATTTTATTTTATTTTATTTATTTATTTTTTAACTGTGTGACCTTGGGCAAGTTTTTTTTTCATTTTATTTATTTATTTATTTTTTACCTCTGTGCCTTAGTCTTTTCAAATGTAAAATGGGGAAATGCGAAATAGTAAAATGGTAAACCATTTTACTCTTAGAGTTACCCGCGCAGGCCATTCAGAACAAATGCCTGATGGATACATACACAGTAAAGCCGCGTCGTGGACAACTGTTCCCATTCCGTTCCTGCCTAACGTGGGTGAACAACCTATGGCCTGGTTCTTATCATAACCCCGCGGGGATCATGTGAAAGGAGCATGAGGGGGGAGGGTGGACGGGGCTACTGGAAACCTCCGTATGAGCAGGAAAGACGGTGGTCAGACCGTTCCTCAGAGACAGATGTTCATGCTACCCGCACGGCTCTGTGGGGAATAAAATCACCTCTCGCTTTCACGAGCCTGATTCAACGTCTGACAGCTTTTCTCACTCGGGAAGTGATTCTTTCTGTGGCTTAATTACCTATTGTTGCAGTCTTGGTTTGGGGTGAAGGAAAGGGGAGTGGGTCTCACTCTGAGATACAGGGTCTGCTGACAAATGGTCAGGTTGGACTCAAGCATTCACTCTCGGCCAACCGGTGCAGGGCTCGGTTACGGCCCCGTCCCGAGGCGCCCCAAGGGCCCTGTGTGCATGTCTGTAGGGCTGCCAGGCAGACGATGGATGGCAAGGGAAGTGGCAGTCAGCCAGGACCCAGAACGCTGGGCTCTGGACTCTCACCCTGGCTGTAACCTGAGCAGCTTTGTAGGTACACTTTCTCTGTGCTTGCAGGAGAGATGTCACCAGGAGAAAGAGTTCCCCAGATAAAAGAAAAATTTGAAAACCTAGAGGCCAGTGTATGTCCCCAACAAGCCACCGGACGTGACCTGTCCCTTGGCAGGTGACTCTGTTGCTTCTCGTCTCAGCTCCTCTGTGCAGCCTGTTTGAAAGCGGCAGCATCCTGTGTGTGTGTGTGTGTGTGTGTGTGCTCGCGTGTGTGCGCGTGCACGTGCATGTGTGTGTTTGCGTGCATATGCTCCTTTGTTCACAGTGGTGTTGAGAGCAGAAAGATAAATGGGAAGATTCACAGGGAGAGGAACTTTATAAATCCAAGACAGAGATATTATGAGACTTGAAAAAGTCCCCTTTAATGAGTTTGAGGGGATAATCTTGACCCAGCCTTGTGCAGGTGGCTCCTGGGAATTCACAGAGGGTTTTCATCTCTAGCTTATATGATAGGGTGGCAGTGATTGAAGCCCGAGATTGAGAGAAGAACCATTTGACACACCCCTGCCTAATGAAATAGGTTTGGAGGGATACTGACCAAAATAAAGGGAGTGAACACGGGTCATGCATAGATTTATGTCCGCTGAGTGCTGTGCATCCAGGGGCTTGTCAGGCCTTCTCTCCCAGCCCTGTCCTGTGGGTGTCCAGGTGAGGTGTTCAGTCCCGCCAAACATGGCATCTTCACCTCTGACAAACTGAGTGTTGCCCCGGTTTTTAAGTAATGGCTTCAGAGAACGGCCTTGGAGCCCGGGACGGTTCAGAAGCA